TTGTTACAATATCCACAGGAACGTCCTGTGTGCACCCGGGGATTCCCACTGTGCTGCAACAGACAAAGCACGGCCGTCCCCCTGCTGCAGCTCCAGGTCGGAGCACCCGCTGCCTCCACGCAGGTAGGAAGGGCTGTGCCAGGTGCAGAACCAGAAAATGCACCAAAAGCATGGGATTTGCATGAGGGCTCCTTGCAAAGAGACAAACCATTTGCATTGCAAAACGTGACAGCTCCCAGGAGCCTAACTGAGCTGCACCTCTCCCTGCCCTGCAAAGCGCTCTGCTTGCTGCTGCAGTGCTCCAAATGGGACAGCACTGTGGTGCTCAGCCCAGCACAGGGCATGCAGCTCCCAGGGCATCACCATGTGCTGCTCCTGCTCCATGTGCACCCATGGAGTGACAGCCACATCAGTCCCAGACGTCCATGCAGTGCTGGGGTGGAGCAGGGCTGTGTGTTGTCCCATTTTGGGGGCGTTGCTTCTCCAAAAGCATCGTGGGAAGCTCCGATGCACCACAGCGATGCCACAAAGGACAGTTCCTACCCCAGAGCAACGCTGGCTGGGTAAACAACGGCCTCGGAGATGTGTTTGAGCTCAGTTTAATCCATTCCAGGTGCCTGATGCTAAATCCTGCAGGGCTGCGACGGGCAGACGGCGGTGTCCATGGCTCCAAGCTGGAAAGGCAGCGCAGGACTGGGGGTGGCAGAGCTGTGGTTTGGCCTCACAGTGACTCCAGCTCCATTCCATCACCCTGTGACGGCTCCATGCGGGGCAGCCAGGTGAGGAGAGCCGTGTCTTTGCTGCTCCAGGGCCCTGCCCAACATCCCAGACACACAATAAAGCCATAAAGCATCCACTGGCCACACCGGCCCTCAGGAACAGAGCTGAGATCTCAGATGTGCTCAGACCAAAGACCTGGGGCTGCTTCAGCTGTGCTTGATGCTGGGAGATGAGCTTTCACCTTCCCCCATGACCCCTCCAGCCCCATTGTCTGCGATCAGATCCAAACAAGACACCGCATCGCATCACCCAAAGCGATCCTGGCAGAGGAGTGAGCACCAGCAATGCCCTTCCTGGGGTAACCCTTCCCAGCAGGGAATCCCCCGGGACAGGATAGCTTTCCTCCAACACTACCAGCTGTGAAGCATTCCCAGACATCCCAGGAACGCGTGGGTACCACAAACGTGGAGCCACCCCAAAGACCCCAAACCCTGCAGTGATGATGGGCGCTGCTGATGGAACAGTAGGAGGAGGAGCCCGGGCTGCCCCACATCTCACAGTGCCAGGAGCCACGGGCACACAGCATCCCGGGCAGCTCCTACGGACCCTCTGCCATGCCCCCCCCCACCCCCCGGCCCGACCCAGCGCTCCCCCAGCACAAAGGCAGCACCGGGTTGTGTGCAGATCGAATCGCGCTGGGGCTGCCCCCGAGCCCGGCTCGGTCCCAACACAATTCCAACCGCTGTGATTAAGTAACTGCCGTCCCCAGGGGCCCCGTGAAGATAATATTTAATTCTTCTCTCTTGTTATTATTTTTTTCCCCCAAGCCTCCGCCTCGGTGATTACAACACGGCCTGG